GATTGTTGATGCTGATGATGAGGAGAGGAAAAGAAAAACAGGCGATAGACAGGATGGATGGTGTTTCTTTATTAGTCCATCCGTGAGAGACACCAGCAACGACCAAGGCCGCTGATGCCCAGGCCGATCCGGGCAGCATGCTCGGCGATGCTTGCCCGCTCACGCCCAGCAACGACAGTCCTAGTGCGACTGCCTCAGAATGGCGGTCCTGGCGCGGCTCAGCTCCGAAAGAACAATGGGATGAGACTCAAACGTCAGCATCACGAGGTGGTTGGCGCCGAAACTGGGCCTTTCCCCCTTGGAAGATGAGATGAGGCTCAGTAGCGCAGGGCACGAAAGAGCCTCTTGGTACGACCGTGCGACGAACCAATCGCGACCCAGGTAATCGACCGGGAAGCACACAGGGTATCGGAAATCATTCGTAGCGCAGCCGAAGAAACATTCATGCGCGGGGCGGGAGCAAACACTAGCAACCCGAGGGCGTTCGACGAACGGAGCGTGGTGTTTGAGAATCTCCAAGATGCCGGGAAGGCCTACCCTGGCCCATGCTGGGCATTGACATTGTTGGGGGTCGTGCGGTTCGCTGCATATGGGTCCGTTTCGGAGCCTTCAGTGAGCCGGGAGAACCTCTGAGATGGGGTTTACAAAGCCCCATCCAAGCCGGATCTATCCCAGAGCCACGCTGTTTTTAGGCTGAGCTGAGACGAAGCATGTCCTGAGCTCGGTGGTGGCTCATTAGCGAGCAAGGTGAACAAACCAGAGCTGGCGACTGCGTATCCCTCTGATGCCGAAATGCGGCCTCAGTACTTCACATCATCGACAGCCAGGTAGCAGAAAATAGGTATCGGCAATTGAGTTCAAGGGTAGAACGAGCAGTACATCTATATACCTATACATTACTTATGCCTGATATACCTATCTACCACAATCGTATACCCAATAAGTACCCATCAAGGTCCATAGTAGAGCTGTTCAAGCAGACGGTGGTCAGTATATGTACTGAGGCCGAATTTCGGCATCATACATCATTATGGGTTCTTTTGGGCGCCCCCGCTCGATAGCGCCGAAGCACAGTAGCGCAGCCATCGGGCACACACCGCCTGCCTCTACAGTCCAGGACCTGCAACCAAATGCTTGATGCAAAAAGAAAACCCCATGAAGCTGGAGTCACCGTGGAAAAACTTGACTACCAATTCGACATGATGAGCAACGAAGAACTCGAGAAGCTCGCCCATCCAGAATTCTGGGACGAGCGCTATTCGACGGCTGAGGCTGACACGCCGACGCACGAATGGTTCCGGACGTTCGACGAGCTTTTGCCTTTTCTCGAGCCCAACTTGTTCGGGTCGCGGGGACCTTTGACCAACCCTAAGATTCTTCACCTCGGATCAGGGGACAGTGTACGCTGGTCCTGACACGATGTCTTCTCGGGTATTAGCGGCTAAGATTGATCCAGACCATACCACGAGACCTGGCAGAGCGTGGATACAATGATCAACTCTGCGTCGACTTTTCCAATGTGGTCGTAGATCTCATGTCCAAAAGACATAGCGACATGAAGGGCATCGAATGGAGGCTCCTGGACGTGTGCAATATGGACAGCGTCCCTTCAGGGTCCATAGATGTCGCATTCGATAAAGGGACTCTCGACGCCATGATCCACGGTAGTCCGTGGAGCCCCCCTCAGGACGTCGTGGAGAAGACTGCCGCATACATACAGGAGGTCAGTGGTGACTGCCTGGCGAGTGCTATGATGAATTTTCCATCGCTGACGCTCAGTCTAGGTATCCCGTGTCCTCAAAAATGATGGCGTGTTCCTCTACGTCACATACCGTCCCCAGCACTTCATCATGCCTCGGCTCAATTGCCCAGGCGTCGACTGGGACATTGAAGTCGTCGTCCTGGGAGGGGATGCCAGCCTCCCTTATCATGGATTTGTTGTGAAGAAATTGACGTCAGCTATCAATGCAGAAGACCATTCAGAGGGTTAAGCTCAATACTAGCCGGCATCAATCAAGATACCTAAAATTTCATACGGCTCGAAGCACCTGCAAAGCCTACGACTTGGGGGCCGTCCCTGGCCCTCCTTGGAAGGAGAATTCGTGGATCGATTCGTACTTCATTATACCCCATCGCCTGGGTCACTCACGCCCATCATGTCACTCACGCCAATCATGCCTCCAGCTTTATATTTCCAGAGTGCGTCTGTTTGATTCTTCCTATTGGCCCAGCGCTCTCACTACGGAGAGTTCACCAGCATACACACGTGAAATCAATCGCAGGTGTGCAGTGCATTGACCAACATGCTTGTCTGCGTCTGACGTATCAATAACAGATCCGCGCGATGGACGACATGTCCGCCGCCAAACTCATGCCAACTGTGCTTTTCCGTTCGGCCTTGGTGCTGGTCTCCTTCAGCATTTTTATCGTGATCGAGACGCACAGCCGGGAGACCTCCTCCGCCATGCCATCCTCTTCAGTCAAACCAGCTTCGGCAGCTGATTTTGATTCACGACTGTCTCCGCCTGAGTCTGTACATACTCGGTCGGATCGGTCCCGATCACCTTTGCGCCAGTTCAAACGACTCTTCCACAGAAACAGCAAACCGACGGCGACTGCAGAGGTGAAAAGCGGAACCAATGGACAGAGAGCTGAGTACTTGAAGAACCTCCCCTTTTGCAGTTTTTTAGAGCCTTCCCCTTAACCAGATCTAGAACCCTGGCGGCATTCGCAAACACGTCCAAGACCGAAGACGATGTCACGGATCCCCAACACCTTCATACAACGGACGATGCCGGCTACGCAATAGACAATGGTGGAGATCGGCTTACTGCCGCCTACAAAGAAGCCCTCTACAGCTTCAACAAACAAGCAGTCGAAGCTATCCAACAGGCCGACGGGATGGGGGGATCTGATCAAGAGCCTAGACCTGAAGCGGGACGAGTTGCACAAGGATTCGTGGTTCCGTAGAGGCCTGGATCTGCTACATGAGCCTCTGAGGAAACTAGATCTTCTCCTTCCCCTGGGCAAAGCCTTTGCCAGCCTAGATCCCACAGCAGCCACAGCCTTTGGAATTGTCGCAACTGTCATCGGCGTAAGAATTTATCGCCCCATGAA